TGAAAATCGCAACGAGAGAATCGCAATGCGAAATGAAATCGCAACGCTAATTTCGCAATGCGAAATGAAAATCGCAACGAGGGAATCGCAATGCGAAATGAAAATCGCAACGCGAATTTAATTTCGCGTTGCGATTCTCTCGTTGCGATTTTCATTTCGCATTGCGATAGTACTTTTTGCCTTCAACATAATGCAGATTGAAATCAACAAAATCAACCATTACATTTCAATCAATTAAACAAGCACAAATAAGAATTATGTTAACATCAATTAAACAAATCAACTTTTACAAATCACCTTTTACAAATCAATTAAACAATCAAAAAAAGCAATAATTATTAGAGAAAATAACACTTTTACTATTGAATCAACTTTTGCAGCCATACATCATTTTCACGCAGCTCACTTCTGAGATTAACCTGCATAAACCAAACATTTGCTCAAACAACACTTTCTACACATCTAAAACCTACAAACAGCAAATTATTGAATTCTAGGTACTTAACCAAACATTTTCAAACCACAAGCCTATAAACATACCAATTGTTTATGGACATTTTTATAACGCGGATGCAGGTAGGTAGCGTCTCGTATATATCGATCTAGCCATATAATGTCGAAACCACAAGCCTACTGCAGCTCTATCTATATCGGTGGGAGGTAGATACTTTATACTTCCTGTGATCAAACGGTCCAACGCCAAGCATACGAGAGGACCACAATCCCCTCTGGGTCCTTTCGTTTGATGTGGTGCGGTCTCGTCTCTGCTAACTGTAATATTGAGCTTCTTTGGCTTCTTGTTTCCAGAACGAGTCCAATAATTTATCGCATCCAAGTATTTAGCCAAATAAGAGCTCCATCCCTTAATAATATCTCTTAAATCAGCCAATGATATGTAATTTATCATGCTGTCATATACTATTGCCTTAAGGGATGGGATCTGAAGCTCGACGAGAAGCCAATGGTTACGTTCCAAAACAGGGATAAACACCTGCAATCATAAGTAATAATTCATTCATTTGCGCACTTATTTATGAATACCTTTAAACTCAATCTAAAATAAACACTAACCTTATCGACCTCCCACCATGCAGGATAAAGTTTAGCTTGTCCATTGCCCAACGCAAATGATTCATCTTGTTGATTCTTCAAGTGAACTGCGTTAAAAGCCGTCGGCATTATTGTATACCGTGTATTTCTTTTATTTTCCTTAAGTTTCCTAATTATTAGTAGACGTGACACCAACGCATCGATATGCTGTTTTACAAAAAAATACATATATTAGTGAATTACATTAATTTTTAAACAAATTAATCAAATGAAAATATAAGAAAAATATAAGACTTACCCCTCCATCGAAATAGCCATTGTCTTTGACCCCTAATAATACGCCCCACCAAGACCGATCAAGCAACAAATAGATATCATCATTGAGCTTGCATATGTCAGTGAAACACCCCTGGCTTCACTCATGTAGATAAAAATCAACTGCGGTCTTAGCCCAAAGGGTTTTATCCAGAATTGTGTCCGGTAGTTGTTTCCTCTCCTCTTCAGATACCGGTATGGTACTGGCCGGTAACTCATACGAGAGCCAACTTGAATCCATCATGTCCGGCACGCCAGAGGGTTTCTCAAGAATCCTACATATGATGCCATGTGAATCGGGCTCTTGAATGGTGGGAGGGACCTCTTCAACGATGACAGTGGCCTCTTGAACGGTGGGAGGGGACTCTCGAGGAATGATAGGGGCCTCTTCAACGATAGGAGTGGACTCTTGAGGGATGATAGGCGAGTCGGGCTTCTTCTTGCGGTGTCTTCGCACTATTGGGGTATACGGAGACTTAATAGCACGTGCACGCCGTCTGATGCGTGAACTCTGTCGTGCAAGAAAAACCCGACGTAAAGCATCCACCTTATCGGTCCGCTAAATAAAAATACAAATATCAGTAAATAAATAGACATGATATTTAAACAGTGAAAACAAAGATAAATATATTTCAAACTTTCAACCAAAAGACAAAACAAAGACAAATACTAACTTCACAGTGTTAAAGTAAAAGTTTAGCAGTTTTGGCAGCAACCGAATAAATTTACTAAGCAATCTAAGTGAAATGGTTAATTTAAGTGAAATTACGAGTAAATTTATCATCAAGTTAAATATGGAAAATCTTAAACTTACCTCGTTGCGTAGAGTATGAACCTCATTCTGCAACGATACTACCATCTCACGTAGAGCGGCAACCTCACCACGTAAAGTAGACACCTCCACACGCCATGCACCATCGTTATCGCGTAGAGTACCGATCTCCTCACGCAAGGCATTGACCTCATCACGTAACTCCCTTGACTCATCCCGTGGAGGTGGAGAACAGGGAGATAGAAGTCGTGGCATCTTTGTCGGTCGCCTATCATGAGGTGATGGTGGAGAAGAGACTCGATGATGTGACGGGATAGGTGATGGCTCTCGTTGTAGAGGTGTATAGTCGGGTCGATCAGGTGATGGCTCAGGGTGAGGTGATGGCTCTCGAAGTGGAGGAAGTGGAGGCTGCTCATCATTCGTGCCATCAAAAAAACGCTGACTAGCTTGCCACCAATCAGTGGCAAGCTCAGCCTCCGTGGGTGTCAGTCTCATTAATGGAGTGTTGGCCTCTTAAAAATATAAAAACTAAAACAAAGTTAAACGTCTACTATTAATAACTTGTTTATATATGATAGTATTTGTGTTAACTTACATATTTATTGTCGCATATGGTATTAAGTCTTCCCAATCCAACATACGTTTCCTCTTCCAGGAAATAGCCCTAGGAATATCATCTGAGGATTTTAATGCATATGTCCGCATGCTGGGGAAAGCCTCGAATATCCAAATCTATAAACAATATAATAACAAACATTAGTAATTGTTAAATAATTAATTATAATTTTGAAAACATTATATAGAAATTCTTACCTTAAAGGCCCAAACAAAGCCTGACAAAGTGTATTTCGACCCATCGCCCCGCAAACTTTTGCGGTCATCAAAGGCAGACGACAACTTAGTCCAGGTAGCTTTCCATATATACGAACCCCACGGAAACAGATTCCATGCATTTAGGTCCTCTACCAATAATATTAGCTCCTGAGGAATAGGTTGTCTGGCCTCTCTGCCTAGAAAGCCGGCATACAAAAGTAGTAGAAGGCATACTCGGACAACATCGACGTCATTCATCCGAGTAAAACCATCTTTCTTATTAAACAATTTCTTCATGTCGTCGACGTGTAAGTTCGGCTTCTCTATTGACTCATCAGGAAAAACTCTGGATAACAATGATGGGCGGGTGATATGACGAGTGTACCGGCCTACATCATCGTGTCCGAATCGTAGACCAGTGATTAAGCATAACTCCTTCCGCCCAAAACAAGTATACGCCGGTGGAAAATGAAACCATATCTCTTCCTCACCACGTTGTATACTGTCGGGTAGATCGCTAGTCATGGTCTGAAGCCACAAATGGGTCAAACTAGCATCTCCACCCGGATGATGTACTCTCAGCCATGGCCCGAAGCAGGTTTCTTCAAACAATTTTCTTTGTGCAGGTGAAAGCTTCGAAGCAATTGTAGTGGCTAGGCTAACTTTATTCCTTAATGTCAATGAAGCCGAAAAAAATTTCTACAAAAAAACAATAAACATACCAAGTTAGATATACAAAAAATTACACTGTCAAGATATACCAAAAACAAAACAATAAACATAAATAGTAGTTTATTCTTGAAACTAAAATTTGCAACACTGTTTTTGTCTTTTGGTTGAAATGAAAATCGCAACGAGATAATGAGAATCGCAACGCGGAAATGACTATCGCAACGAGAGAATCGCAACGCGAAATGACTATCGCGACCAGACAATCGCAACGTGAAATGAAAATCGCAACCGCGAAATAAAAAACGCAACGCGAAATGAAAATCGCAACGCGAAATGAAAATCGCAATGCAATTTTGGTTTCGCGTTGCGATTTTTATTTCGCGTTGCGATAGTTATTTTCGCGTTGCGATTTTCATTCTCGAAACTATTCTTCTTCTGCATTACTTCAACCAAAAGACAAAGCAAAGACAAATACTAACTTCACAGGCTAAACAGTTTAGCAGTGTTGGCAGCAATCGAATGAATTTAATAAGAAATCTAAGTGAAATGGTTAATCTATTATTGAAATTACCAGTAAACTTATCATCAATCTCAATATGAAAAACCTAAAATAATGCAAAAATTTCAAAATAAAAATAAAAAAACTAACCCTCGGAGGTTGATTTTCCATTTCTGAATGATTGTGAGGGATTTTTGACTGTGAATGGTTGTGAGGGATTTCGCCGGTGATGGAGACGGAAATCTTCGGAGATGGGGACGGATTTCGCCGTAGAGAGTGAGAGATGGAGATGGGACTGAGTATTGTGTTTTTAGGTTTGAGGTTATGAGTTGCGATTACTGTGGACAGTTCATTTTCCGATTTATTAAGAAAAAATACGTGTTTGGAATTTGAAAAAAAAAATACGCGTTAATACGAATGGCGCTATGTAAATCGCGTTGCGAAAGTCAGTATCGCGTTGCGAAAGTAAGTATCTCATTGCGATTTTTTATTATCGCATTGCGATAGTCAGTATCGCATTGCGATTTTCCCAATTCGCGTTGCGATTTACTTATTCGCATTGCGATTTTCCCAATTCGCGTTGCGATTTGCTTATTCGCATTGCGAATTGGGAAAATCGCAACGATATTGTAGACCATCGCAACGCGATTTTCAACTATCGCATTGCGAAAATGCAACGCGAATTTGTGATAATAGAGATCGCGTTGCGAATTAACGATCTCATTGCGATTTTGTTGGTCATTTTGACAAATCCGAAAAAAATTGATTAAAATCGTATATTATATGTGATTTTTGGTCACTGTTACTTTCTCCTTTGGTTTTTGTTACGACCCTTTGGCATTTTCACATTCCTTTTTTATTAGTCTCCCTCATTCTTTTCTTCTTCAACAATCCAATCCACAGTTCTCAGTTTCATTTTGCCTTGACTGCATAATTTTTTATTTATTTTATTGATTTTTTTTCGATCTGTTTGATTTGGCAAACACATAAATCTGATTGACAAGAAGATCCCATGGCCACCACTGGAAACAAGAACAGCAATGCTAAATTAGTTCGTTTTCTATCTCTCACAATCCTTTAAACCCTTGTTTTTTTTAATTACTTGAATTTTCTGCGCTTTGGGTCGGCTTTAGATGCTGAATTATGATCTGGGTCTTGATGTATGGTGCTTCATGTTTGCTTTTTATGTGAATTATTTATGTGTTATATTGAATTTTGTGCTTTGGGTCGGCTTTAAATGCTGAATTATGATCGGGGTCTTGATGGATTGTGCTTCATATTTGATTTTTATGTGAATTATTATACATTTTTTTGCTTAGTTTTGCAAAATGTTCTTTTGATTTTGGTGGTTGGTTTTAGAGCCAATCAAATTTCATGTTTGATCTTTGAACTGGTGTTTGTTGCATGTATCAGTTGTTAATATGTGTTTTGTTCTTCAGGTTCTACTTGGGGATGTCGGAGCCGGAAAATCGAGTCTTGTTTTGCGTTTTGTTAAAGGGCAATTCCTCGAGTTTCAGGTTGGTGCGGTTGGATCCTCTGAGTTAGAACGTTATTGATTCGACTTTTGAGTTGGGAATATATGGTGTGACATTGATTTATAATATGTAGGAGTCGACCATAGGAGCAGCTTTTTTCTCCCAGACGGTGGCGGTGAATGATGCAACTGTAAAGTTCGAGATTTGGGATACCGCCGGCCAAGAGAGGTACCATAGCTTGGCACCAATGTATTACAGGGGAGCTGCAGCAGCGATCATTGTTTACGATACAACGAATCAAGTAAGTTCATAATGTTTAACCCGTGTCTTCTCTCTGTGATTAGGTTATGTCAATGCAAAAATGCCTACTGCTCTAGGGAGATGAAGGAATTAAAAACTTCCTTAGATTGTAATTTAAGATCATACCTGGTTAGCTTCGATAGCTTTCTTTGAATCTAACTTCAACGATGCGTCTATGATAAAATGTTCGATTAGGGTTTGTCTGGTTGATGCATCAACACAATGATATTTAGTATCTGAAAGAATGGTAATAGCGTTCTTATTTTGCAGATGTCATTCGAGAGAGCCAAAAAATGGGTCCAGGAACTTCAATCACAAGGTAGTCGTTTTCTTTTTCTACTCTTTGGTTGACATTCTTCTCGATTATGTATCGAGTTATCCATACGAATTTTTTATTTATTAGCCCGAGTAATTGAATTCTGATTTTGATGTTGAAATCCTTTTTCCTTTTCCTTTGAAGGCAATCCTAATATGGTAACAGCACTTGCTGGGAACAAAGCTGATTTACTCGATGAAAGGAAGGTGGCATCGGAGGCAAGCTATTAGTTTCTATATTTCTCTAACTCTTCATATTTTTTGAACTACCTGTTTCTGATACCAATCCTGCTATGGTTATGGTTATGGAGATACAACTCTACGAAGACCCTTAAATTGCTAGGAAAACTTGGAAAGAAAATCTGAACATAAACCGCGATGGACTCATACTGTAGTCTGTATCATACTCTTAAACCCGAGTTAAAGTACCACATATTAATTTTTAAACGTAATACATTATATCATTATTAGTAATCAGTAATTCCTAGCATTGTTAGGTAGAACGACTGCTAGGATTAGTGTAATTTCGGATTTTTGACATTTCAAACTAATCTTTTTCTCTTTGAGATGATAAAGGGTCGAATGTATTCATGGTGCGATTTCAATTTAACATCTACGTACATGCAAGCATCCATTTTACTTATTCTCCTCGATGATTCAGGAAGCAAGCACTTATGCCCAAGAGAATGGCCTTTTCTTCATGGAAACTTCTGCAAAGACTGCATCCAATGTCAATGACATTTTCTACGAAATAGGTAAGTTTAATTTGTTGTTTCGTTTTATGTTCCCCCTCAAAAAGCATTATCCGTCCAACAGCTAAAAGATTACCTCGAGTGCAGCCAGCACAAAACCCTGCTGGAATGGTTCTCACGGATAGACCTGCAGAACGGACAGCAAGCGCTTCGTGTTGCTCATAAACAAAAGTATGTATCTTTGAAGTAGCTCATGTAAGGTTTTCTGCAATCGAAAGCTCTTTCCTTAATATATATGATCGATATATGTCGATAACATCAATCTGTTAGTTGTGCTGGAGATTAGTTTTCTTTGTGTCATGACTTATGTCAATGTTGATGTATAATTATCATAATATGCCCGAATGTGAATTCGACAACCGTTTCGTAACTACTAATATCGTACAATGTGTGATTATGCATGGTGCATGAAAAGTGGTTATATGAAAACAGTACCAAAATACTAGAGATAAGTTCAAAGTCCAATTAGTTACCACTCTCCTCACCTACTTAGTTACAATTTGTTGTTAGGTCCTCTTAGTTTTGAAACTATGTAAATTAAGCTTTGGTTCTTCAATTTTTTTGAGTCAAATTGCTTTTTAGGTCCTCTTAGTTACCACTCTCCTAAAATTTCATCCAGGCTCTGTCCCGGTTCTAGTGGTGCCAACAAGAAATATCACAATCACCGGTTTACTGGTAATTCCGACCTGGTCTGTTTTCATGGCCATTTCTAAGATGTTCGAATGCACACTAAAAGATGCTCAATTATTTCTTTCATTTTTTTTTAAATTTATTCGAATGATGAAATATATAGGCTTATTTTATACACCGACGGTGTACCAAACGATAAAACGCCATCAGGAGTTAGTAAGTTGATTGATATTGACGGGTGAAACATACTCAGGACCGCCATCCAGCATATACTTTGTTGCGATTAAAATTGCTGATTCCGTCGGATGGAATGGATCCCAAAAAAGATACTTTGTCCGGTCAGAACAAACTCGAGACATCTCTGTGCATGGAATCAGACCACCATGTCTCCCGATCACTTCGCAACAAGCATAATCTATGTTCTCAATTCCTGAAAAAGGAACGCAGGCCAAAAAAAAAAATCCAAAATTTGATGCTTATTTAACATTTCCAATCCCTCATTGACGAGTCTCACCATGTGATATCATCCGTCACTGCATAACCATCGATATAAATGAATACCGATCCTGTAAGGCTGCTCGGAAGATCTTCTAGCAAGCTCTTTACTTTTGAGCTTAATAACTTGACTAAGTTATTTAATGATTCAACACAATCCTGGGCACATATATGTGTGCCTATCTCGAACGGAATGCAACCCGCTTTCGAGACACCGAGCACTGCAAACTTCCTGGCATCCATGTTGTAAAGTCTGCAATTTACATAGACCGAAGATCGTTAGAAATCAGATATTTTTCTTTTGTTGAGTGAAAGTTAGTGAGGGTTTATAAAGAGAAACCCTCACCGGTTTTCACACGAAGAGATCAAGATGTTTACTTGGTTGTTGAACTGAGGGAACCTTTTGATCTGCACGGTGAAACTTAACCGGAATTAAAAATCGTAATCTAAGAGAAGATTTTACTGTGATATTGGATTTGAAATTGGAAACTACTTCATCTGTAAAACCTTTCTTATCAAGAGTTGCATATTCTCCAAATTAGATATCATTGGACCCAATTGCAAGGAAATAGAGTGAATTTATGAGCAATGCTTGAGCCGCTGATGCACCAATTCTTGATATGATGTCTTGCCTAGTCTTGCCAAAGTAATCCGCTTGTTTATCCATCCAAATTCGTTAACCCTGCAACATATACAAATTCGGGTCGATTTGAGCTCATGTTACTTGGATCCATGTCTCGAGCTTTCAAGCTTACTCGTTACAGTTAAGATCATTTCAAATTTTGATCACTTCAAATTCATATCATTTTGAATTCAAGTTAATTTAGACTCGGGTTGGATTGATTTTTAAGTTATTAACTTTATGGTAAAATCAGATTTGATCGTATTGAGCATCAACAAATAACTCCGACTAATCTTACAAAAAGTGATCCGTGCGCTTGTAGAATTCCAGCTCCAGAGAAGGCATAGTTAACTCCCTTCAAAATCATACCTCCGCTACTATTAGGTGCCAAGAAAGGAGGAGTGTAATCTTGAAACCCCAATGCTTCCCCTGTTCAAACAAATCAACAAAATTAACAAAGAATGAGTCGAGTTATCCGTCCAAACTTGAAGGTCACGATTTGGATAAACATATTATCTCCGAGAAATGAGTAGCATAACTAGTGCAACGAACATCAAGTATAAAATAACAATAGCGACGCATTGTCCCGATATTACGGTTGGATAGGTATATAAGAATTCAAAGAAAATTGCCTATAATGTCTGTAATTATTCGGGAATTGGTGTATCGTCCGGATGGAGTGCCTCTCGGAAAGTCGATGCCATTCGGAAATCTCGGTTTCGCCAATGTGTCAATGAAATAGTTGTTTCCGACTTCGACCAGTGAATCTTCGAAGATGAAAAAGCAGTAATATTTTGGGCAAAACCGATGGCTGAAATCCGAAACAGTATCGAACACATAATGATAAACTTGTTCGTAATAGTGCCCATTTGGGTTGAAGATTTCCAGAGGTGGGTTTTGGTTTTAATGATCAATTGAAGTTATTTCAATGGTTTAAATAGTGATACTAAGCTCAAGTGGTACCCCTCCGGCTCGCAATTCGAAGACATTTCGACTTTGCGACGTTGTCGAGACACACGGATGGCACTTTATGTAAGTTGAGACAATAAACAATGCTTATGAGGTGATTTCGGATTTATTTCGAGGTCTGAAATCTCTTTCGAAATTAAAAGAACGAGTTTGTCGAAGATATATCATTTTTATGAAGAATTAAATATTACTTTTAAAGATAATTATATTAATTATTCGAGTTTGAATTATTCGATTTCATCCAAATTAATGAACTATAGTTCTATGAATAAGGTATTAAATTTTGCAGATACGAGTAGAAAATGATCCATATATGTTGTGGAAGACGGCTATCGGATAGAGCAAAATCGCAACTGAGAATTTGAGAAAATAAAAATGAAGATAAAAGAGACATAAAATTTACGTGGAAAACCCCTAAATAATATACGGTAAAAAACCACGGACAACGGTAGAAGAATTTCACTATGAGAAAATAGGAATTACAACTTCTATCAATCTGCCAAGGAGAAAACAATGATAATTCTCTCTTGATAAAAAGGAGAAAACAACTCTAAAAACAACTCTCTAAATTCTCTAGTATTGGAAGAAAGCTATAATGCTTTGGGATGTAAGCTGAGAATATAAAGTGTTCAGTGTATTTAAGTGTTCCGTCACTGAACTAGATTCTGGCATACGTAGAGTGTACAATTTTCTCTTAATGAAAATTTTATTGTGCAGCGATGTGACCTCGCACAGTTTGGTGAGATGATCCCAGATCTCCTTAGCTGTCTTCTTCTCCTCGACTTCGATCTATTTATTGTCATCTGTGAAATTTACTGGCCTTTCACTGATAGCTGCTAGACAACCGTCTTTCCTCAGGATGACCTTCATCTTCAATTTCCACAATGAGAAATTTCTCCCATTGAACTTTTCAATATTAAATTTCGTTGCCATAGCTTCTATTACGGATAGCTCCCACTATTTCACTATCGTGAATAGTTCTTTGGAACCTTCAAAGAATGGGTAATACCTTCTTACTTTCTTATGTTGGAGGATCCACCTTTTGATGGCAACCACAAAGACAATAAGCAGATATTACACACTCTAATATGGCTCGGATACCAATTGTTGAATTTCAACCGGTGTTGCTTACTTGTTATGCAATGCTCACACAAAGGAAGTGATACATTTGTTAAGCTTGGAAGTAGCTTTTGCTCCATAATGACTTTCATTCCTTGTTCTGACATGTGTCCAAGTTTTTGATGCCATAGCATTGCAGAATCTGAACTACATGAGGCAACAGAAGCTTCTGCTTCTAGCAAAGTCTCTCCCTTCAGCATGTACAAGTTTGCTGCTATCTTTTCGCCTTTCAGCACTACAAGAACTCCACGGAACACCTTCATAATTCCTTTCCGTGTTTCAATCTTGCTTGCATTATTATCCAACAATCCGTAGGATAATAAATTTTTCTTCAGGCCTTTCACATACCGCACATCTCGAACAATTTTTATTGTTTCATCATACATTTTCAATTTGATGGTTCTCACGTCAACGATCTCTAAGGCATGATCATTGCAACTATACACAGATCCTCCTGAGACAGGTTCATAATGATGGAATCATTCTCTTCTTGAGGTCATCTCCATCATTATGAATATGTCTCAAGAGAATCTGTGTATAGTTGCAATGAGCCAAATATCTGCAAATCTTTTTTTACCTTCCACGGTGGACGCTTCACAGCTTAGAGCATCTCCATCATTTGAAGTGTTTGCAGTATTGCCTTGTAGATTGGAGTTTTTATTTAGACTCCAACAATCATTCTTCAAGTGACCTTTCTTTCCACAGTTGTAGCACTTTAAATTCTTCTTGCTTCTCCTATTTTACAGCTTAAGGATATGTGTTCAAAATTGCTGGTGGAGCTGTAAGTTAGGTTTCAAAATTGCAATCAGTTGTGGCTACATCCACAATAGAGGTAGAATATGTAGCAGCTACACAAGCCAATAAAGAAGCAATTTAGTTGAAGATGTTATTGGAGGAGCTTGGGAACAATCAAGAGTATGTCTCTCTGTTTTGTGACAGTCAAAGCGCCTTGCATCAATCCAGCATTTCATTCAAGGACAAAACACATACGAGTTCAATACCATTTCATTCGTGAAAAGGTGGAAGAAGGGACGGTAGATATGTAGAAGATTTATACCAAAGACAACAATATAAGCTATAGATTGTTTAATTTATCATTTTGGCATTTCGACTCTTAAATCTGCGCCCAAGTTGCCAAGCAGTCTTTAGTGCAGCGAGAAACTTGTTAGCGACGGCTTTTCTACTATTGCCGACGGAAAGTATTCAAAATAATAGAGTGATTATCTTAAAATGAAATGTTAAAATTTAAAATACTCTAAATAAAAAATAAGTAAAATAATGTTGAAAAGTTAATTTTGATATTATATTTAATTTAAAGTCAGTCCCTATTAATCGAAAAAGAAATTTTGTTTGTCCCACTTAACCCAACAATAGACCAATAATAGCCCAACCTGTATCCACATTTCACAAATTGAACCAAATTTAATAATTTTAAAAGTTTATTTATAATTTGATTCTTAAATTATATTTTTATTTTAATATTTAAATTTTTTTATTTCATCTTCATCTTGTTTTACCCAAATATTTTATCAACATTCAATGAAAATGTATCATGTTTTTAGTGACTCTTTTTTTCCATTCATAAGCTACTACAAAAATGACAAATATCAACATAAGTTAATGAAAGTTCATATATTGAAAATAAATATATATAATTCAAGACTAAATCATGTATTCCAATAGCATATACATGTTAAAAGCACTTAAGTACCCTAACATAAAGACATGGCACGAATTAAGTGGTATTCGTGATAAAATAATTGTTTTTATTTCTTGAGGATCCGAGTTTGAGCATCATGAATGTCAAAGATGTGAGCGTTCAATGTTAAAAGGAATTGAGAGTTATCAAAAATAAAAGACATGAGAATTTAAAATGAGACGAGACAGATCATGAGTTACTACTTGAATTTGACTCGGTCAAAGCTCAGTAGACATTCGAATTGAATGGACTCGACTCGACTCGACTCGAGCTCTTAACGAGTCAAAACGAGCAACTTAATACATGACTCGAAAAACTCACAAACAACTAGAAGCTCGAGTTTTAGCTTCAATAGAGCCAAGTATGAGAATGTTTGAAAGTTATAATTTTTTTAGCTCGAATCAAACTTCAATTTTTAATTTCGAGTAGAGCTTGAAAATTTTAAATTCGCGAGTTTTTGAGTCAAACTTCATTTTTCGATTACGAGTTCAAATCAAATTTGACAATTTTAAATTCACGAATTTATGAATCTAATCAAACTTAACTTTAAACTTTTCGAAGCAAGTTCAACAATATTCGATCTCGACTTAACTCGTTTACATTTCTATTTGTAATTCACACGAAAAAAATATAAAAAAGCAAAACCGTCGGCAAAAGCATCCGATCTTTTTTTTTTGTCTTGCGTTATCGTGAAATAGCCATAAGATGTTGGTAATAGGGATGGCAAACGGGTACAGTTTCGTGGATTCCGCACCGCATCCGCTCCAATTGGAGCGGGGATGGGTATAATTTTAGCGGATAGTGGGCGGGTGTGGATTTATAAAGTGGTACCCG